CGTTGGGTAGCTCTGTGTTGTGAAGGCAAGAGGAGAAGGGGACGACAGAGGATGAGATGGTTGGACAGTGTCATTGAAGCTACCAAAATGAATTTGACCCAACTCCGGGAGGCAGTGGAAGACAGAAGGGCCTGGCGTGCTCTGGTCCATGGGGGTCACGAAGAGTCAGACACGACTAAACAACAACAAAGCTCAGTGTTTGGTTGACAGTTTGATTCCCCACTGTGCCTCCCTGAGAGGGGCTGGACTTGATGATCCATAAGGTCCCTTCCAGCTCTGCAGTTCTGAGAGAAACGGTCCCTAGCCTTTTCTGAGGAAGTCTGAAATGTGTACATCCCAGGTTGCAGAAGAGTGCTGGTTCCAAAATGAAAGCTAATAAGGCCCTAAAATAACCGTTCTCCCTTGAGACATGGCAGAACAACCTACTCATTCGTTGACCATCTCAAGTGCATTTTTACTGACAACGTAATATAAAGCCCACCGCTGCTGTATATGCTACCCACAGGCCAGGTTTTCAATACTGTGGATGCCGAAGCTGCCCATGCGATATGCAGAACGCCTGCACGAGGGGGTTAAGGGGCCACCCTGAATCAGTCTGTCATATTCCTTTCCTTCGAGATCCATTGGAATTCCACCATGTCTTCACGGTTCTCAATGTAAATGTAAAGCCTGCTTCTCGAAAACAACGGAAGTAGCAAGAACGCTGAGCTGGACATAGCGAAACCCCTTCCATAGCAGACAGATACAGACATTGTGTGAGCTTACTCCTGGGATTGTTGCTCAATGAAAGCAAAAAATGGAAAGGGAAGGTTGTGAAGTATTATAACTGGGAATACTGGAAAGAAGTGACCTGATTGATTTTAGCATACTAATTGCACCGGGCGGGCTGGATAGCCCAGTGGGGTAGACATCTTGCTGTCAACCAGAGGTTGGGCGTTCCGTTCCCCGCAGTGCATCCAACAAGAGTTAGCCTGTGTGACTTTGGGCAAGCTGCGCAGGCCCAGGGGGGCACCAGAAGAAGGGAAAAGTAAACCACTTCTGAGTGTATGTAAAAAAGAGTCAAAGTAAGTCAGAATTGACTTGATGGCGCCCAGTTATTATTAGTTGTACCAGACTGTGGAGGAGATCTTGCAACCTGGTTGCAGCTGTGTATTGGAACACAGCTATGAATAAAAATAAACTGTAATATAGGACAACAGCGCTCTGCCTGTCATCAGTGAACCTACGAGATATCCACAGGAGGAGACATAGCCTGGTGTCTTGTCTGATAATATCTAAAAATGCTTAGTGCGCGTGGAGCTAAATTAAGATTTGAAATGCCAAGGAGCAACCAACAGAGACCCTGCTGACTCTCAAGAGACCCCCTGCTCTCTTAAGTCCCATTCGAGAAAGAAGAGGCATTGCCATTCATGTTAAACACCAATGTGTCAGTGGACAAATTGCTTCCTTGTTCAAATATTGCAGGGCAGGAGGAGTTGAGAGAAGAATTGAGCGTTCCTCCATGCTACGAAGAAACTTCTCGGCATGCCGGCATAGGAACAACATGGGCTTCTAACTGCATCCTTTATTCCCAAATCAAAGATCTGTTGGTGGGGCTTTTGTTTGATGTTAGTCCTACATTTTCCTCTGCCACCTCCATCAACTCTGTTGAGACTACACTGTAGACAGGCGAGAAATTTGTTTTGGGATCTGTGCGGGTAGAGAATGCTAAATAAACACATGGAAGTCTTCTATTTATTTATTCCTGTTGTTATTATTTATATTCCACCGTTCTGTATACACATAATCCTGTCCAAGGTGGTGCAGAAGTAAGATACACTGAGAAAATTACAATAAACAGTATAAAAACATAAGCACTTCTCAGAATCTGCCCTGCAGGGCAGCTGTTGGTAGTTGGGTTTCTTGGCAGTCGTGATGGGGAATCCCAACTGAAGCTGATTCTGAAATCTTACTCCAGCTCTCATTTCCTCCTTCCTGGGCTGGGATCTAGCTGGTAGCTGATGGAAGAAGCCCCTCTAAGCAGATTCAGGAAGGCTAGCTTTATGTTCTATACAGGAAGGGGGTTGCTTCTCAGCTCTCCGTACCATCAAATATCTGCTTTGGAAGCAATGTGTCCCACAATCAGATGTTGAGGGTGTGCAAAGGCTGCATGGAAACTACTTCTTTCTGGATCCGTCTTCTGTCAGCACACATACTTCTACTTGATCTGGGCCCTGGCGTCTTCTTCCTGCCACAATCCTGATGCGTGTGCCTCTATCAAACACTGGTAATACAGAGGGATTCAAAATTCGTGATTTGGCTTAGAATGTGGCCTGGAGGGGATTGTTCTGTGTAGCTGTCAAGGGCCAGCTTCAGAGCAAGGCCAGCCCTGCCATTAGACAGAGTGAGGCATCTATCTCAAGGGGCAGACGTTTATGTGAGAACAATATTGGTAGCCTCCAAAACATTTTGTCCACCTGTGTTAGAGAAAGAACCCAATTTAAGCTGGCTTCATTAATAGGAGTATCATCCTGCCCCTTCCCTCTATGAACCAAACATCTTGCATCAAGGGCATGATGTAATTGGGCAATACTGACACCTTAAATACCAGCAGGGAGAAAGATCTGGTGAAATCCTGATAACGCCATGATGCTCATTCAGGATGGTCAGACAGTGTGCAATTTATAAAATTATACATGGAATAGAGAAATATTGGTCCTTCTTCCCTCATGGTCAAATTCAGAATCAACTAATGACATCGAACACATTTCTTTTATCCACCCCCCCTTTTTTTACAGAGGCTTTTCTTCACATAACATTTAAATTAATATATGAAATTTGTTATCCCCGGATATGTCGATGACTAGAGGCAGAGATTGTTTCCAAGGGGGAATTAGATGCCATCCTGGAGGAAAGTAGTCGATCAAGAGCTCTTAGCCATAATGGCCAAAATGAAAACTGTCTTTCCAAATGAGGCTTTTAAAATGTAGTCACTGCAAACCTGCTGCCTTATTCACTGGGTGTCGTATTCCATAGACCACTTCTGACACTCCTGTGTTTTCCCATCACTTCTGTCTTTTTCTGTAAAAGGAAGGAAGGAAGGAAGGAAGGAAGGAAGGAAGGAAGGAAGGAAGGAAGGAAGGAAGGAATAGTGGCAAAATGTCTTTTATTTGCTAGTGCCAGAAGCTACATGTGGAAATGCCCCCTATTTGGAGACTTCTAAGTAGAGATGGGCACAAACGTCCGGTTCGGCAGTTCATGATGGTTCGTGCCAAACAGGTGTTCAACACTTCCCAGTCCTGCCTCCTCCAGCAGCCGCCCACTCCCAAGCAGTGCCCCAGCTTCCCTGCTTCGCCTCCTCTGGGCAGTACCTGTGAGTGGGCACCTGCTGGAGGAGGCAGGGCTGGGAAGTGCCAAACAGCTGTTTGGTGAGTAAATAAACCACCATGAACTGCCAAAGCGGCAGTGTGTGCCGATCTCTCCTTCTAAGCATTTTTGGTAAATAATATATATTGACTTGCAGTATATATATTGCAAGTCAATACATATTATTTACCAAAAAAATGCTTAGAAGTAGAGATGGGCACACACTGCCGCTTTGACAGTTCATGCTGGTTCATTTCTATATTGGTTCATTTCTATATATATATATAAAATTTACAAAAAAAAAACACCTTAGAAGTAGAGATGGTACGTTTATTGTCTGAATGGGTGCATAATAATAATCAAACTGTCAAGTACGATACGGTATAATAATAAACTGTCAAGTCAGTTGTGAGATACATCGACCCATGCCTGGAATTTCCTAGGTATAGTATTCAGAAGTGGTTTACCATTTTCTTATTCTGAGAGTGCTACCCTTTCCAGGGTTTTCTAGGCATAGATTACTCAGAAGTAGTTTACCATTCCCTGCTTCTGGTGTGTGTGTGTGTGTGTGTGTGTGTGTACTCTGGGGCTGCACAGCCTTCTCCCAACCATGTAGGCTGGCTGTGAAGGAGGCACAGTGGGGAATCAAACTCCCAACCTCTAGCTCTGCAGACAGATAACCCAGCTCAGTGAGCTATCCAGCCAGCTGGTGGAAAAAGGTATGTATCTTGGAGAGGAACTTTGCCTTCACCACCTCTACCTGCGAGGGATCTGGCTAGCCACCAGCAGAAATGCCATGTTTGAGCCAGATGCATCTTTTCCTCCAATTCTGCCAGGCCTTTTTCATCCATCAGCATCCTTCCTGTGCCCGTCTTGTCTCATCTGAGATGGCTCAGAGGCGCTACTGTCCTGAAAGCTCTCAAAAATTCTGAAGCTGGCATGGGTCATTCTTTCTCTCTCTCTCTATTTTAGTTTTTGTTTGCCTGTTTTCCACTGTTGTCATGCGTGAGGCACGAGGAGGCAGAGGGGGCACAATTGTGCAAAGCGTGGACACAGTGGGAGAGAGATTTAAGATGTCTGCCACAAGTGGCACGCCTGGACGTCACCGGCTGGTGTGAAAAAAAATCCTGGCTAGGCTGTGCAAAAAACTGAAGCAGGGCAAAGCATGAGAAAGGAAGGGGCTTGAATATTATGGAGGGAAAGAAAAAACAGGTTTCGTATTCAAACCCGGAGTAAAAGCTGAGCCCCTGAATCTGGACTGGCTGGAGACCCTTGATGTGTGATCAGATCCCTTAACAGAGCTAGGAAACTGGATTGAGGCAGAACTGCTTGTTCGTAGGAGCAGCAGCATGCGGGTAAGAGAAGCACACTGGGGGAAAAAAGGGGGCTCTGTTTGGCCAAATCCCTGTTACAAGAAGAATAGGCTTCAGGGAATGAGCCTATTTTAGTAGGGGATCCGTTACCCCCTCCAGCTAGCCCTGGGTTTTTGCCCTCTGTGAAAAGTTCCTGCCCAGCCAAGCCGAGTCAGCTGGGGTGGGAGGAGAGAGTTAACCACCACTGTTGGATCGTGGCCCGGAGCTCTGAGGTTTTTTTTTTCCCGGCATCCCTCTCTCCTTTGCTCTCTCTCTCTCTCTCTCCCGCCCGCCCTCCTTCTGTCTCTCTCTTTTTCTCTTTTCCCCCTCCGCTGGCACACTCGCTCTCCCAGCTAAGCACCCCATCTCCCTTGCAGCCACCCTCTTGTCATCATGCCCCTCTCTCTTTCTCTCTCTCTGTTGTCTCCTCCCTGCCCTCCACCAAGCAAGCCTCTCGGGTAGGAGCTCCCCCAGCTTGGCACACCCTGGCAGGACTCCCGGCCTGCCGTCCCTTCTCAGCCTCGGGTGCCAGTCAAACCTCTCCATTTTCTTTCCTCCCTCGCTGTAGCTAACCTGTCCTCTGTTGCTTTTGTCGCCCCCCAAAACCACCCAGGTCATCTCCCGGCTCAAGCCCCCGAAGAGCGCATCTCTGAAGATGAACCCCGTCCCGAGCAGGGTGAGGCGTCCCCGCCGACTTTTTTTTTTCTTTTCTGTTTCTTATCGGTGCCAATTTTGCAAAAAGGAGAGAAAAAAAGTTTTGTTTCGGGCTAGCTGCAATGCCGTGGGCAGTGATCCTGGGGGGGGGGGCATCCTGGAGTTGGATGATGGGGTTGAGCAACTGAAGGTTTTTGCTTTGGGAATGGAGAGGAGTCCAGGATGGGGGGACCTCCCCGGTGCTTCTTTTGGTGGGACTTGGGGGGGGGCTTCCAGGGGGAGAAACGGTGAGTGGGTCGAAATTTTGGTTCGTCATCGCTGGGGTGCAGCCCAAGTCCATCCAGTTGGCTGGTGAATCTTATCATTCTCTTATCATTCGTTCTTGGGTCCCTCTAAGCCCACCGGAAAGAGAAGGGGGGGGAAAGCCGAGAAGAGATGAACCCCGGATGATGGGCATGCACCATGTAATGGCGGACAAGCAGCCACGGCAAACGCATGCCATCTTCTGCTCCTGCCTTCCTTTTCTGGAACGTCATGGCACCAAGTAGTTTGAGGGTTAACCTTACTGATCTCTAGAGAACCCTAATTATTCGAGCCCGAGATTTTTGTTTCCTTTCTTAATTTCTGGCCCAGGGGCTTTAGGCCCACCAGCCTTTGAGGACGTTTTGGCACCAGATCCTTGTCATCAGGAGATGCCACCTTTTCTGCGGTGCCAAGGATTGGTGGCCTCCATCCGTGGCTCTTTGCACTGGCTCCCCCACCGGTTCTGGGGCTGTCCCTTCCCTTCCTTTCCCACCCACGCCCTTGAATGTCAACCCGAGGTGCACCCCCACCCTTCCTGAAGCTCAGTTGTAAAATCCTTTGGGTCTGCAAGGCAGTTGTGTAACAGGGCTAAAGGCCTTTCAGGAATTTGCCCATCAGCCTCTGGGCTTGATCAGTGGAGAATTAGGAGGAAGAAGGGATGGGGGGGGGGAGTTTTTGCCAGAAATTCTGTCTTTCCCAGGGAATCTGCTTCGGCCAGGTTGTAGGGATCGGGAGCCCACACGCAGGAACGCTTGTGCGTGGGAGAGAAAACCTCAGCCTTCTGCCATGCTTCTGCATTTTGCCACTCGCTCTTCAGTTTCTGTTTGTATTTAAAAGCTGGGGTTTTTTGGGGGGGGGGGTTCCTTTTAAATTTAATGACCATCCTAGGGCAGAAGCAGAAGGGTTATCCAGAGGGGAAAATAGAATAACAGGCATGGGAGAAGGTTATACAGAGGAGCCTTGTTTGATTAGGTAGAGAGAGAGAAAGAAAAAAAAAGGCTATGCGCGAAGCTTGCAAAAGGGGTTGAGACAGACACAGAGCGGGAGAGAAAGAGACTTCCAGCATTCATGGGAGCTGTTATGTGCAGACCTAAGGAAGGGGGCTGGCGGATGCCATGGGCGATGGATCGGCACAGGGAGGGTGGATTGGCACCGTGCCAAGGCCTAGGCGGCCGTTGCTAGGAAACCCAGGTTCCCTTGGCAGCCAGACCGTCGTTTCACTTTCATTAAAGGGTACGGGAGAGAAAGAGAGAGAGAGAGGGAGACGGAGAAGAAATCGGGAGGATGGGGGGGGGAAGGAAACCCGGTGGGTCACAGGCAGAGATATTAGCAGGGGTAGTGGCGGAGCTGGGTCAGGCGGCACCACCCTCAGGTCACCCTCCAAAAGTGGAGGCAAAGCACCCAGCTGGATAGGGCTGCCAGGTGGAGGTGGATGGAATTGGGTAAGGGGGGGAGTTCTTCCTTCCATCCTTCCCCCCCCCAAGACAAAGGAGTCGACTTCTCCCACCCTGGTCATTCTAAAGATCTTGGCTGTAAGGTCCCCCCCCCGTGGTTTGGGTCCCAGGCCATTCCTTCCCGGGAAAACTGGCATAATAAGACAAGGGGAGTCGAGTCGGGCATCGAGACATGTCGGGGTGCAGGTGTGGGAAGCAGGTCCCTAGTCGCGAGGAATAGTAAGAGGTATTGTGACAAGAAAAAAAGTGATGTGCAGGCCTTCCCAACCCTTTGGAAAGAGCCCTGAATAGAAAAATAAATAAAAGGTTCAAGGGAACGACAGCTCTGCCTAGCTGTTTTCTTCCACCCCAATTTTTCTACTCCCAGCAGTGCTGGAGGAGCAAAATTATAAACCCGAAGCTTGTTTCTTTCCTCCTGCGTCCACCCCGAAATGGGCCGTTCTGGATGCCATTTTCTCGTGTAGCGTCCTTGTCATATGGCTTGCAAGGGCCTTTTTTTTAAAAAAAAAAATTACCCCAGAAGATTAAGGCATCGTGGGTGGAGAGAGCCAAAAAGACGGGAGGCAGCCATAAATATTTCGATGAATCAGGGACTGAAATGTGGAAAGTTCTGAATTTCGATCAGAAGGGGCTGTGCTTCAGGGCGGGTGGGTGGTGAATATTGACTGCCATTTATGAGGATCGGGGATGGGGGGGCAGAGAGGTGATAGTCTAGGAGCAGCTGGTAATAGTGGCAGAGGGAGGTTGGAAGGGGCTGGAAGAAAAGAACGGTAGGTAAACGGTAATGGTGGGCAGGGTGGTGGTCTTGTCATGGCTGGCACCGAAGTGTTGACGCACGAGGGGACAGCTAACGATACAAGCTAGGGGAGTGAGCCGAGTTTCCACCATCCTCCCCCTCTTCCCCGAAATATTTTTGAGGCCAGGTTGGCCAGCAGAGAAAAACTTGCCGGCAGGTGGGTGGGAGGGGAGGGCCGGCTGCCTGGCACTCAGGGGGCCAGCCTGCTGGCGGGCAAGTTGGCATTGCATACTGCAATACAGCGTGATGTGAATTCATTAGAGGCCAGAGCGAGAGAGAGTGAGACAGGGGGAAAAAAAGAAGGGAAATAGCAGGTGGAGGGGGGGGAATAGGAGACGGGCACTGACCCAAAGGCCAGACAATGGCAGCAGGTAACCATGGTGATGCGCCCGGCTGTGCCAGCCTAGCTGCCGAACTGGGGAGAGCGTTCTCCAGACAACCTCTGGGGAGCTGCCCGCCTACAGGGGTGTGGGGTGCAGAAGAGGGGGTGGGTCACTCTTTCTTCCTTTCCCTTCTGTCTGCTTTTTATGGAAGTGCGCCCGATGCCAGCGTACCTCTCCACCCCTTCCCTTTTCTTTCTGCTCCCTTATTTCTTCTGCTCTCCATCCTCCTCATGCTTCCTTTTGCTCATCCACCCCACCCCGATTCCTCATCTCCCCATTTTGCTGCTTGGCTCACCCATACAGATCCCTTCCTCCTCCATTTCAAACAGCCACCGCCACCCCGACTGTGTACCCCTCGTTTTCTTTCCAGCCCACTCCAACCCATATTACATTTTCATTCTGCAACCCAGGACCCTCCAGGGCTTGGGGGCAGGGAGCTGTGGCACCGTGCCCAGATCTACGTATTTCTCTCTGCCTGCACGTCCGTATCTTTCTTCGCCATTGTCTGCCTCGGTCTGTTCCTTCCCACCCACCCCCCAATCCGGTCTTCTTGTCTCTGCCACCATCGTGGCTGTCTGCCTGATTCTGCCACTTCCCCGTATTTAACTACCTCCATCGTTTTCCTCCCGGCCTCCCTCCACCGTTATCTTGGCACAAAATCCCCAACTCATGCCACGCTGTGTCGTTCATCCTCCTCTTTTTCCCTACAACTTAAGGGGGAAGACCTGCCCCACGGCCTGTTATTTCTGTCTTCCCACTCCAGTTGCCCGTTAAAAATCCCTGTGAGTGATATTTTGAGGGGTTTATTTTATTTTATTTTAGTGAGAGAGATATACAGGGCTCACATTGCTGAGAGCATTTTTAGCAAATGCTAGTGAATCTTCCCCTTGGCATTAAAGTTTGGCCATGGCTGTTGTGCTCAAAGTTGAATTCAACAGCTAAATTGTCTTTCAGTGAATGAAATTCTCCTTTGAGAAGTGGGTTGGTCAATGAACAACACCAAAAAGCCAGATTAACCCCTAGAAGTGTCTTGGTTTCATTGTCTCCTTTCATGTCCTTGACAAACCATCTTACTAGATTTCCTTTGTTTCCGTTTTCTGTTTCTGTGATTGGCTTTTGTTCCTCATGTCTCCTGCAATCGTGGCAGCTAGTTATAGGGAAAAGGTGCTTCTTATGGGGTGCTGCAGATAGCTATGGGTGGGCTAGGGCAATGCTGAGAGTGTGGGGTGCAGGTTTCTGTTCAACAAGTGGGGCTAGGTTTGTTTACAGATTCCATCACAGGTACTAAGATTCATGCGGATTTCCCAGGAAGGCTTTGTGGTTGTGCACATAGATTTTCAGTTCTAGCATATGTTCTTCTACAGTGGACCCTCGACTTACAGACGGCTCGACTTACAGACTTTTCGAGTTACAGACTTCTCTGGCCGCAAAATTTAGATTCGACTTGCAGCCGGCGAATCGACCTACAGACCAGAAAAAAACCCCAAATGGAACAAAAATAGAATAAAAACTGCCAGTTATGGGATTAATCACTTTTCAATGCATTGTAGGTCAATGGAGATTCGACCTACAGACTTTTCGACTTGCAGCCACCGTTCCAATACAGATTAATTCCGTAAGTAGAGGGTCCACTGTATATGTGTTCCCTTTCAGGAATAATTTACCAGACACTAAAAGATGTTAGGGACGTGGTGGCGTTGCAGGTTAAACTGCAGAAGCCTCTGTGCTGCAGGGTCAGAAGACCAGCAGTCGTAAGATCGAATCCACGCAACGGAGTGAGCTCCCGTCACTTGTCCCAGCTCTTGCCAACCTAGCAGTTCAAAAGCATGTAAAAATGTGAGTGGATAAATAGGTACCACCTCGGTGGGAAGGTAAGGGTGTTCTGTGTCTAGTCGCACTGGCCACGTGATCACGGAAAATGTCTTCGGGCAAAGGCTGGCTCTACGGCTTGGAGATGGGGATGAGCCCTGCGCCCTAGAGTCAGACATGACTGGACCAAATGTCAAGGGGAACCTTTACCTAAAGGATGTTACCTTGGAATGCAGCCCTTAGAGGGGGTTGAATGAAGCTTCCCCCAATTTGCATCAATCTAAGGACACTTATTCATCTTACAGTTCTCTTGCAGTTCGTCAGACATTTTCCTAGGGCAACCACTTCCTTATGGATTTCGATTTAGAGGCCAAAGATCTGTTGAACTGTACTGTGCCTCTCCACCCACCCACCCCCACTTAGTGTTAGGTTTCCTCAAATGTTAGCTGTCCCTCAAATGTTGTCCTTGAAGGAAAACTTCAAGATTTTATTCTGAATTGTGCTTCGGCCAGGTTTCGGGGGGGGGGGAAGCTAATTCTCATTGGCAGCTTCGTGGAGTCCACCCAGCACATATATTCCTAGGTAACATTTGCCTTCAGACTGTGACGATGTTCCTAAAGAAAAAGACCTGCTCACATCATACGCATTTACCTGAGTCTTCTTGTGGAGCATCTCTGCATTTTCTGCCCAATGGGGCCCGCATTAGAATCCCGGACACAAATACTCACATCACCTGGATTTCTGCCTCTGAAAAGGTTGTGGCATCGAAGCCTACTTCACAAGCATCTCTCATGACAGTCGCATCCCAAAACAGTAGGTCTCATCGACCAATTATTCTGAAAGCTCTGAAGCTATAAGGTTAAAATGAGCCAGGGTTCAACTCTTCGGATTTTGGCATCAGCTCTCGTAGCCCTGTATTATTAAAGTTTGTTCTCCCCACCTCATATTGTGTTCATTTACAGGATGGTTGGAGGATAATGCCACTGAACATGGGCAGAGTATCTCTCTCTCTCTCTCCCATACACACACACACACACACGGTGACGAAACAACACATACAACCTTGAAGTCTCAAAATATACCTAAATTCAGTTTTGTTTTCGAATTTTTGTAAGGTCTTTTAAAGAGGAAAACCTACCTTTTTTATTAAAAAAAACTACATTAAATGTTGTTTAAATTTATGTTTTGGCAGGCTGAGAACCAGAAAACCCGTTATTGTCCCAGGGGATCAGAAATGGGTGAAGACACCTCCAAAAGGTACGATTATTCAACAAATATTATTTCCCCACAGCTTTAATCTTCACAATTAATCAAACATTTGCACATTTTAAATAGAAAGGGGTTCTGGACACCTGAAGTAGTTTGCCCCGGCACTATCTCTGTTGCTATATTCCTGTTTTTACGAACAGGGAGCTGCCACTGGAAAAGCATGACTTCCCCAAGATGAACCAATAAACAGCTTTGGGTGGAATTTTTGGTTTTGTTAGTGCCGTCGAGGCAAAAGTGAGTTACAGCAAGTCTAATAGGGCTCGCAAAGTAAGTGAGATAGAGTGGTGCCTCACTAGACGATTACCTCGCAAAACGGTTTATTCGCAAGACGATGCGTTTTTGCGATCGCTGTTGCGCTTCGCAAAACGTTTTTCCCTATGGGTGATTTTCGCTGGATGATGTTTCGGTCCATGCTTCGTAAGACTTTTTTTCCGGGACCGTTTTTTGCAAGACAACGATTTTGACAGCTAGTCCGCGACTCGCGAAACCTTTTTTTTTAGGGACCGATTTTCACAAGACAACTATTTTGACAGCTGGTCTGCGCTTTGCAAAACGGTTTTCCCTATGGGTCGTGGGTGATTTTCTCAAGACAACGACTATTTTCCCCATTGGAACGCATTAAATGGATTTCAGTGCATTCCAATGGGGAACCGGATTTCGCAAGACGATGTTTTCACAAAACAGCGATTTTCACCAAACGAATTAACATTGTCTTGTGAGGCACCACTGCATTTAAGAAGTTACTTTACCAGGTCCATACCCCTGGTGAGTTTCTGTGGCTGAGCAGGGATTCGAATCAAGGCATCCTGAGCCCTAGTGCATAGGATGCAATAAATTAAATTACTCATTCATTCACTCTACCCGTCATTTGCCCTGGCTGCCTCCATGACCACAGTGAAGCCACCCTCATGTTTTCTTTTAATCCTGACCAGATCCATAGAATTCCTGAGCACTGGAAAGTGAGAAATATTTCTTAGGCAATAGAAGACCTCTCTGCGAACTCAAAAGATATGACTCTCTAGCTTCTTGGTGAGTGGAATGTTGAGACCTGGAAGGTAGTTTTTACGTTGCTCATGCTGGAATTAGTTTTAAACAATGGATTATTTAAACAATGGTGCTAAGCGAGCGCAGGTTGGAGGAGGCAGGGCTAGGAAGTGTCAAATACCTGTTCGGCCAAAAAAACGAACTGGCACAAATGGGTGGTTTGTGCCCCTCTCTGGTATCCAACCTTGGATAGGCCAGATGTTCTTGGACTGCAACTCCCAGAATCCTTCACCCCTAGCTGTGCTGGCTGGGGTTTCTGGGAGTTGCAGTCCAAGAACACCTGGGTTACTCAAGGCTGGGAACCACTGAAGTAAAGGATTTTAAGTGGAGCCAAATTGTACAGCTTCACCTGTTGACACCCATTCTCCACCTGTGCAAACTCCCTCTCCTGTCAGTCCCATCATTCAGGGGCGACATTAGTTATCTATGAATTGTAAGCAAAGCAAGGGTAGCCCTGTCAACTCACAAGAAATTTCAAAATACAGTGAAAATGTGAATTCTAGCATTCCAACCTCTCTTCCTTTTCCCTTTTTCTTTCTTCCCTCCTGGTTGCTTTTCACATCGGTTTGAGTTTTCTGAAAAGCTTGCTCAGTTTTTTTTCTTTGTGCTTTAGCATCCTTTTGGTGCTTTTTTGGTTGGCCTAATACAGCTCCATGGTTTAGGTATCTGTTTGCGGAGCCAGAGGTTGGGGTTCAGTTACTCGCTGTGTCTCCAGGGAGAAAAGCCAGCCTGTGTAGCCTTGGGCAAGCCGCACAGTCCCGAAGTATCCCCAGAAGACGGGAACGATAAACCACTTTTGAGTATTCTCTACCTGGAAAACCCTGAACAGGGTCTCCATAAGTCACAATTGACTTGACGGTGCACGATTAGCTCAGTAGTAGAGGTTGGGGGTTTGATTCCCCACAGTGCTTGTTATGAAGTAGAGCCAGCTTGTGTAGCCTTGGGAAGGCTGCACACTTCCAGGATGCCCCCTGAATAAGGACATAGTAAACCACACCTAGCTGGATACCGCAGTGGTTAAGCTACAGTGGTGCCTCGCTAGACGATGATAATCCATTCCACTGAAATTGCTGTTTAGCGAAATCATTGTCTAGCGGAAAGCATTTCCCCATTGGAATGCATTGAAACCTGTTTAATGCGTTCCGATGGGGAAGAATCATCGTTGTCTAGCGAAGATCGGCCATAGGAAAGCCGCTTTGCGAACCACCGATCAGCTGTTTAAATCGCTGTCTTGCGTAGCTTATGTCCTGAAAAACACCTGTTTTGCGAGCGTGGAGGGAGCTGTCAAAATTGTCATCTAGCGAAAATCGGTTTGCGAAGCAGGGACCAAACATTGTCCAGCGAAATTTCCCCATAGGAATCACTGTTTTGAGAATCACTATAGTGATCGCAAAAAGCCAGTGTCTTGTGAAAAAACGGTCATGCGGGGTAACTGTCTAGCGAGGCACCACTGTATCTGACTAGCAAGAGGTTAGGAGTTTGATTCCCTACTGTGCCTTCCAGGAGAAAAGCCAGCCTGTGTGGCTTTGGGGCAATCTGCAAGAGCCCCAGGCTGCCCCCAGAAGAAGTACTCTTGACCTGGAAAACTCTGAAAAAAGGATTGCCATTACTCAGAATTGACTTGATAGCCCATGATGCCTGTTATTAATAAAGGTACTGTCTTGAAGCTGTTCTTGTGCCAACACAGCTACTGCTGTTTTCTTTTTCAAAGTTTTTCCTTTCTTTTCTTCCCCCTCCCTTTTTTTTTCCTTTTTTAATTCTAGAGGATGGGTCATTTTTGTCCTTTTAGATGTTTAGAATATCTGTTTCCAGGCTCTGTAGCCTTTCTCTGTGCAAGGATTCTAGGACTTGAAATCCGTAAGTTCTGCAGGGTCAGAGGTCAAGAATGAATGCTCTGTGTAACACTCTTCTCTCCTGCCTGCCTTAGTATGGAAAGTTTCAGTTCATTTGAATGAGATGTGCATAGGAGAATCTTCTGGGAAGCCTGCTTCCCATTTTAATTAAGAGAAGGAATGCTGTTTGAGTGTTCAGGCTTACGAACCCAAATTAGCCAGCCTCTTAATTACTTCTCTACATGAGATACAGCTGGACAGCTGTCCACCAACCTTACACCATGTACAATTTGACAGTCTTTAAGCTTACACAGAACGCTTTGGTTATCATCAGTGTTTAACATTTCTGTACCGCAGAACAGGATGATGAGAGTAATCTTTTACTTACGCTTTTCCAGACCCTCCCTGTAAGTCTGTGTTGAATTACTTTCCTATTTGAATTGATTCATGGTTTCCTTTTACACCCTGCAGTGAGTCAAAGCTTTTTTTTAAAAAAAGTTTATTTGTTCTGAAAAGAACACAGTGAGGCTTCCAGTTTCAAATGTGCAGCTGATGGTCCTGCCTGGTGCCTTTCCCATTGATTAGCCTTGGTTCTAGCTTTGTATTCTCGTATTCATTATATTCTTACTTCTTCTAACCTTCCCATTCTTTCCCTGTTTTGCAATGTTCAGAGCTTATTTTTAAAAAAAGAATCTTTTTTTGATTTCCAAAAAACCATCAGCCAACGTGACTAGTTGCCCTACTGAGTGGAGATCTAGGACCTGTAGTCTGTAAAAGTTACTTCTCCAAACTGTGTGTGTGTGTGTGTGTGTGTGTGTGTGTGTGTGTGTGTGTGTGTGAGTGTGTGTGTGTGTGTGTGTGTGTGTGTGTGTGTGTGTGTCGGGGGCGCCCCTGGCCACCGAGTCCACCTGGGCTTCCAGTGTTAGACTGGGGTCCAGGAGCACCCCCAGGCTGCGGACCCTGTCCCTTAGGGGGAGTGTAACCCCATTCAGGACAGGGAAGTGGCCCTCCAACCTGTCCGGCGAAGCACCCACTAACAGCACTTCCGTCTTGTCTGGATTGAGTTTCAATTTATTAACCCTCATCCAGTCCATTATCAGGTCCAGACACGAGTTCAGCACAGAAACCGCCTCACCTGGATTGGTGGAAAACGAGAGGTAGAGCTGAGTGTCGTCAGCATATTGCTGACTCCTCAGCCCAAACCTCCTGATGACCTCTCCCAGCGGTTTCATGTAGATGTTAAACATTTTTACGCTTCTGCATCCTCTTAGGATAAATCCTTCCATCCTCACCTGTATTCAGAACACCTGCACAGAAGCGTAGAAAGAGCTGAGCACCCTTGGGAGGCTTCTGCAATGGTTACTCAGAGTGGCGGCTGTAACCTTAAAAATTAGCCGGACTCAGAATTTCCAGCACAACTGAAATGTATTCATTCACAGAGTTAGTCCCTCTGATGAATCCATTTGACAGTACTGTAGTGCTTTGTATAGGAGCATAGGAGGAATGATGTGCATGAGTTTTTGAAAAAAAGAGACCATCTTTATTTAACAGGGCTATACAAGTATGGCTGGTTGGATAGCTCAGTGGTTTGGCTGCGGAGCCAGAGATTTGGAGTTTCATCCCCACTGTGCCTTCTGCAAGCAGAGTCAGCCTGTGCAGTCATAGGTAAACTGCAGAGACTCAGGATGCCCCAAGAAGAAGGGAATGGCAAACCAATTCTATGTATTGTCTATCTAGAAGACCTTGAAAAAAGATCACCATAGTCAATCATCTTTTCCAGATAACCCTGCCTTCTCAGGATGTGTGCAAACTAGGTCAGTTTCTGTCTCAACACTTTTGTTTCCAGAGATAGTTCAGGCTTGATTTGATCTAGAACCCCACTTGTGTGTCTGTCTGGCAGTGAAGGCAAAATTCTCCTGCAGCTTTAATAAAGGTATTGCCTACTCCCACCTTGCCACAGATTCTGGCTGTAGGGTCAGAGTAGACAGTGCAGAACTCGACGGGCAAATCTGATCTCGTGTAAAGACAGCTCCTTCTATACCTCTCATTGCTTCCTGGCGCCGCTGTTTTCAGAACAGTGAAAACACATTAGAGATGGGCACGAATCACCAGTTCAGCAGTTTGGACTGGTTTACTTATTGGCCAGACAGGTGTTCGGCACTTCAAAGCCTTGCCTCCTCCGACAGCCACCCACGTCCCTTCCCCGCCTCCCCTGGGAGCTGCCCCTTGAGTGAGTGCCCGCTGGAGGAGGTGAGGCTTCAAAGCGCCAAACATCTGCTTGGGCGATAAACCAACACTAAAAGCCAAACCAGCAGTTTATGCCCATGTCTAGCAGCTACACTAGCCTTTTACACCAAAGCTTTTTGGGGGCGCTTGTAATAGATTTGTAGCCCTCTTCAGCCCCTGTTAAACTCCCTGTGCCAGTTTCTGAGATTTCAGTCTGGGAGGCGGTGGAATGCCTTTACATGCAAGGAATGGCAGGAAAAGAAAGGGCGATTCCGAACGGGACTGCTAAGCATAAATCCAGTTCCAACCTTTTCAAGCGCTGACCACTTCATCATCTCTAAACTGGTCAAAAAAATTTCAAGAGAATGATAGTTGCATGTTTCAGGTTCTGCCTCAAGGTAGAATTCGACCTCAGTGTTCAGATGCGTGATTTCATTTCTAGCAACAGGGAATCTACTTTTGAAAACAAACACATCTCGAGTCTGGATTCAGGTATGGCCTCCTGGCCTGCCCCGCCTCCCTGCAAGACATTTTTAAAAATTCAAATGCTCTCCTCCGCACACCCTCTAAAAATTATAATAACAAAACCAACGCCGTTGAAATCAAGTTTGTGCACATCTACTTCATTTGAGTAATCTAACCCTCAAATCAAGCATTCCCCAAATTCCATCAGCCAGGCATTTTTCTACCACGGTTTTTAGACACTCTCAATTCAAAGAATAACATACAGCACACAGCTCTCCTTTAGCGAATCATTTTGGGGTGTGGCGTATGGTGCATATAAATGTCATGCCTAAACGCAACAGCATGTGGCAACCACCCAGCCACTATCTCATCAGTGTTGCATTAGATTTTGTTTGTTTGTTTGTGAAGCGTAAGAGGTGTCAACGATGAGACATGTTACTTTATTATGTGATTAAA